AGCATACGAGTGTAAAAAAAGCGATTCTTTAGAAAATGTGTTGTGTGGGAAAGCTGGTAAAGGAGTAATTAATTTAACGAATGGTACTACATATTCGGGTTTCATTGGTGGTTGGATCTATGCAAGTGTTACAGCTGATGAATATAAGAACATAGAAATTAATATAGATATAGGGGGAAATACACTTAGAGTATAAGATATGACTATATCAATGAAGCCGATTTATGTTTGTTATTTGAATTTTCCCGCCAATCAATATAACATTCACTAGCAAAATAACACTTTTATTTTATATATTATAAATTTACTTATTCACTAGCAAAATAACACTTTATTTTGAGATATTACTTTCTATTTCCATTAAACAAATATATATATATATATATATATTATAAATTTACTTTGGAAAATCTCGTGTTCATGATTATGTATTTTTAAGTTTCATTCTTTTTTGATTTAATCGAGATTATTGTGCATGTTATTGACGTCTGCACTAAAATTCTCATATTTATACAGTTTACGTCATTACTGTTTTACGTCTTCTTTTTTTTATGGCTTAAATTTTAATGACATGACGGTCTCATGCAATAAAAAAAAAAAGAGATGTAAGAAAAGGTTAAATTAATAACATAAACTATACAGATGAAAAAATAGTGTATCCGGTTAAAAATATTTACACGTGTGTTAAAAAAAACAACACTAAGTCTCATCCATAGTTGTCCGAATGACATTACAAAAAAAACAATTATTTCTATTTCATAGTATAATTAACAAAAAAAGAGAGAGATACAAATAAATTGGCCATACATACTTATATTTCGGTTTTCATATCACCAACTGACCTTTCGTAACCCGCCGACCAAGGTTTCAATTTTTTTTCAAAAAAATTTTATGAATTTTATCGTTTCACAACCCTGATACCCGGTAAAAAATCTTATATGTAAAAAAATTTTTTAATAAGGGCCATACATACTTATACTATTGGTTTTCACATCCAACTAACCTTTAATGACCCGGCGAAGGATTTTTTTTTTTTAAAAAAAAAACTTCGTTAATAAAAAATGTTATTCAAAACTTTTATTGATACACAACCCGAATACCAATAAAAACCTTACATGCTTAAAAATTTTTCTAATAAAATGCGAATGGATTTAGTATTTTTACGGGGCGATTTATCGTTTCATAAAATTGAAGACATTTTACATATTATAGTATTAAAAAAAAAAATTAGGGTACCTAGTGTAACCATTATTCGGGAGAATTATATTGAACAGGTCGATTTATCTCAAATAGTTACGGGAAGATCCAAACTTCTGCGACTGAGATAGGCTTTCAATTCTTACTTAATAAAGGTCTCTTCGCCTCTACTTATATAGAAATGGAAGTTGTTTATACTAATAAAGAAGGAATGATATACAAATTAGGGGGTAAAACTAATGTCGATACATGGAAATTCGAATCTCCAACTGTTCATCTTGTAAACTTATGATATACGTACCCTAGCTTAAAGATTTTTTGCACAATCACGTGTCCGTAAAATTTGAAGTCGGCGCGTAAAGAAGGGAGTGATTGTAAATTGTTAACAATTTACATGCGACATATTATTTATTTTTTTAATGTGATGATTTAGCATCACATGGCATGCCTTATGTGATTATTTTCCGTGCCCTGAACCCTAGCGTAAAGATAGAAGT